CCTCCCACCCCCACCCCCACCCCCGTCCGGAAAAGCCGATCCTGGGGAGACAGAGGTTTTGCCCTTCCCCAGGAGCAAGGTCTCTTCTCTTCAGCCTCCCACTACCCTCGTCCTCTGCGAGCCCTTCCTCCACGGTGGCTTCGAGGGGGCCCTGAGTCAGAGTGTCTTACCCACAGGGCCTGGGGGGCGTGTACCCCTGCACCCCACACCCAGCTTAGCACCCACACAGCAGCGCACTTCCAGGCAGGACCTCCTCTCCAGGCCTCACAGGGGCTCCAGCAGCACCCTGCTTTCCCCTTTCCCCCACTGCAGTGGGTACCATGCACCTGCAGGGTTAGGGCCCAGGGGTCCCAGTCACCGCCAGAAGCTGGGAGCTCCATAGAGGCCTGCAGGACAGGATGGGTGCAGGGTCCAAGCCCTGCCGACCACAGGTATGGTTTTCGTGCAGGGAAAACTGGGTTGGCAAAGCAGGACCGGTGCAGTGCAACCCACCGCACTGCTAGAGTGATGGCAAGGCCTGGCCAGGGCCTCCCCAGCCCCACGATGCCTAGGCTCACTGTGCCAGTGGAAAAGTAAAAGCAAAAGCAGTGGCAGGTCGGACCTAGGTAGAGAGCCGTCCTTGGGGACAGGGACAGGCCCTGTCCACCTCTGCCATCTGAGGCTTTCTCCAGGACTCCGCCAGCTACCAGATGCCCTGAACCCGAACTGGGGAGCTCTCCTCTGCTCCCTGAATCCTCTTCTCTAGCAAAGCCTAGGGCTTTAGGGCCCTCGAGGTAGGACAAGAGACTCTACACCTTTCTTTTCTTTCCTGTCTTTTCTTCCTTTTTCTCCTGGGATTATTTTCTATCACCACCCTTTGGCCCAGGGAACATCTCCACTTCCTCAATGTCTGGTGGGACAGTTAGTTTGAAAATAAAGCTTGAACAAGAGGCACAGGCAGTGGCTGTGGCTCTGGGCAGGCACTCAATCCTCCCCACACTTCGACTTCAGAGCCTGGAGGCTGGCGAGGCCAGAGAGGAGACCCAGGCCTGGGAGAGGGACAAAGAAGTTCAGGAATATAGAACACTCCTAGGGAGTTCCTCCTGCCTTTCTTGTGTGCATCCACTGAAAGCAAAAACATGGTTCCAGCCAGAGCTGTAGGCCAGAAAGTTGGAAACTGAGACCCTTGCAGTGCTGGGCTCCCCTCCCTGTTCTAGCAGTGTATCGCTGCATTTGTGCCCCAACTCAAGACGGGGCGGGCAGATGGGAATTTTAACAACACACCCTGTGACCATCAGGTGCATTTGTCTCTGAAGAGGTTTTTCTTCCCCTTTCTTCTTTCAGTGGGTCTGCCTCGTTACCAGCATCACTCCACGCCTGTGTGCGACAGAAAGGATTTTGTCCTCAATTTCAATGGCATTTCTTCTTTCCACCCCTCTGCCAGTGGGTCTTACTATCACCACCACCACCAGAGCGTGTGTCAGGACATTAAGCCCTGTGTCATGTGAGCGATGGAGACCACCCGGAGGCCAGGCTGCCCTCTCTCCTCTTGGCTGGGGCAGATAGGCGCTGGGGTGACTGGATAATACACTCCCGAACGCATGGGCAAAGGGACAGCAGTAAGTAGCACCCCCACCGCTTAGCAGAACCCCAGCATGGCCTTGACCCTGCATCTGCCACTGGAGGAGGGGAGCCCCCAGCAGGGGAGAGTGGACCCCAACCGAGGAGAAGTAGCCAAGCGTAAAACATAAACTTATACCTCTGGGACCTTCGTTGCCTTCTGTAATCAGGGTCTGAAAAAGGCAGACAAGTCATGTATGTGTGTTTTTCTTTATCTATGAAAACTTGTGTGCTTTTGAAAAAGGCAGTGTGCAAAGCACAGGAATTCAAGAAGCCTCATCATGCTGCCCAGATAAGTAGGACATGGTTCGCCTCAGACACTCCGTTAGGATACAGGTGCCGCAGAACACTATGAGGAAACCGCGCAGGCCCAGCATGTCTAATTTCAGAAAGCGGTTTTCAGTATTGGGACAATAGAGTGTTTTTTACAAGGTTGTTTTCTACCCATATTTTAAAAATATTTTTATGATCTTTGTGTATACTCACACCTTGCTTGTATTTTAAAAGGAGGATATATTTGCACTTATGTATACTTTGACAGTTTGCCAAAATATTTTGATGTAAAATTTTTTTCAATAAAATGTATATAACAAATAGTTGTTTTAGGGACCGACTTCCTTCTGTGGGTGCCAGCCTGGATCTGTCGCCCCACCTCCCCCAGCACCGCGGCTCGACGCTGTCCACCCGGTTGCGTAATTGTCGTGGTGTGGGGTCTGCACCACTGGTGACACAGGCCAGATTCCGCTGTGGGTCTTCTTGGAGCCAAAGACAAGCCGGGATGCTGTTATCCCCTCCTCTACTTTGTGCTCACGTTTTCTGCCTAAACAAAAACCAGAAGGTGAGAAGAACTGCAAAGAAAAGCAGGCGGGAGAATGAGAGGCGAGGGTCGGGTTTGAGGAAAGCCAAGTTTAGGGCTCCTTTTGTTTCCTGGCTCTTTCCCCTTCCCCAGCAGCAAGTTCTGTGGGGCCCAGCCAGGCAGACACCCAGCGCCCCGGGTTAGAGCTGGGCCTGTCTCGGCCCGGCTACGGGCCCACACTGTCCTCTCCACCCGGGCTACCTGCCGGGAAGCAGGACACCCAGCAGAAGCGCAACCTGGACCTAGGGGACCCAGAGCTCCTCAACCACAGCCCCCTGGGGCATTTTCTCTCCAATTCAGGCTGGATCTGTTTTTGTTTTTGCTTTTGCTTTTGCCCTCGTGAATGAAAAATGCACGTTTGTTTCCGGCCCCCTAATTCTAAGTGAATTTCTGGCTAGACATAAGCTAGGGGAAGGCATTTATTTTATTATTATTATTATTATTATTATTATTATTATTATTATTATTATCTTAACCATCTTCCTAATCTGTAGGCTTTCTTTCAGTGTTTTCCAAAATTAAGCCGTGATTTAAATGTTTTTTACCTCTATTATCATATTTGCATTTAAATAGGGCCTTTTCTCTCCCTTTTTTTCTTGTCTTTTACACTGAGCTGCTCGGGGGCCTGCTATAAATTATGAAGTCAGTCTCAGAGTTTGCTCCGACCACAGTGCTGTGTTTACATTCCTCCCGAGGCGGCCGGCATGGTCGTAATTTATATCCTAAACACTTGGACGTAACTTGTTTACACAGAGAATGACAGGACCTCAAGGCAGAAACTGCGCGGGCCGCCGGGCGCCCCCTAGTGGCCGAGGGCACCGCGGGCGTCGTCTCGGGAGGAGCTGCCAGGGGCTGCGGGCAGTCGTGGTTTCAGAGAACTGTTCTTCCCATTTGGCGCTTTCTGCTACTTAATGTCTCATCCTGAAGCACAATCAGGATTCGTTAACAGCAGTGATTTAATAGGGCAAAAATCTTGATTTGCAGGCTTTGGACCTCATCTCTGGGTTGCTCTCAGCTAAGATCCTTGTTTGTTTTTTGTTTTTAATCAAAAGCGCTTTTCTCTTGCTGTCCTCCTTGGAGACCTGCACACAGGGATACGTCCATACTCACCTCTTTCTCCTTACTTTTTAAAAAAATATGCAGTGCTTCGTTATAAATGTTGCTGTAATGCTGGATGAATTCTGAAAAAAAAAAGCGTTGTTGTGGGTTTAGAAGTGAAAATAAATGAACTAACTCAACCAGGGTAAGCCTTCAACCTTTCCCGCTTGGGGTGGTGCGTCCCGCACACCCCAAGTGTGTAGACCACACTCAGGCCACACATGGCTCTTTCATCAAATGTATTTTGAAAGCTTAGAGTTTCTGTATAAGAAGACAGATGACTCTTGTTTGGAAGATTTATTGGCTTTTGTTTGTGTGTTTGTTTTCACTTGGGGCTATCCCATAAAGGAAGAAGAAGCCAGATAAACTCTGAGCTCACACCAGACCTGGTTATGTTCCTAACCTCTTATGGTTATCTTAGCCCTTCCAGTTCCTGGGTGTGGACCACGTTTGTCCTCCGTCACTCTTACAAATGCCTGAGATGATCCATTTGTACAGGAGAAAGGTTTGTCTGGGAGGATTCTGGCCATAGTCCATGGTCCACTGCACAGTGGGCATGTGTGGCCAGGTACACTACATACTTCATGTCGGACAGCTACAGAGGGCAAGAGGAAGAGGGGTGCCCATAGGGGGAGGCCCTGGACCTGGAAGCCTCCCAGGGATTCCTAGGCTGGGACTGAGCCTGCAGCACGCAGCCTCTGGGGATGCTCCAGGAGCTTGGCCTGTCCCCAGACCTGTACGGCCCCTCTGCCTTCTGAAGTGGACTCATCCTATGCATTTCCCGTTACCCCAGAGAAGCTTGTGTCAACCTGGCAGGGGTGACTCCCAATCCCAAGAGGCATCTGCGTCCCTAGGGCTCATCTGTCACATGCTGTGGGGCCTACCCTTGTTTCCCCGTCCAGTGGGCCTGGGGCCAAGGGAGGAGAGAAGAAGAGAAGGAGGGAGGAGAGGAGGAGAGGAGAGTAGGTGAGCCAAGAGGAGAACACAGCAAACAGAAGCAAACTTCCTCAAGTGGCAGTGGTAGTTTGCCCCTTTGGTCCACTGGTCCAGGGACCACGCTTTATAAACCACGGCTCAAGAAAGGCTGTCTGACCGACAGATCCATTCACAGACACAGCAGTCTGATCACCTGAGTGATGACCCTGTCACTGATTACTGGCCCTGGGAAAACACAAGGCCTAATTTTGAACCCCACACCAGAAAATACAATCTCTCCTCCCTGAGGGTTCCTGGCTTAATTTAGGAAATGTTGCAGAAGAATGTCTGGTGGAATCACTAAGTCTCCCTTCTAGTCCATACTTTGTATTCTTAGTCTTAGTACTGACAGCAGCAGTGTCAGAATTCTCCAGACAAAAGGAGGTAGCGAAGGAAAAGAAATTCCCTTATTGGTTTTTAAAGTTCAGTGGGGAGAACAGCAGGCAAGGAGGGGCTGCAATCTCAGTACAGCAGTAATGACCCCCAGGTACAAAGGAGTCAGGCAGGGTGGATGGAGGGGACAGCACGGGGAGAGGAAGAAAGAGAAGAAAGGAGGGTGGTAGAGAGAACAGAGAGAAGAAAAGGGAAGAGAGAGAAAGCGAAAAAGAAAGGAGAGGGAAAGAAAGGGGAAAAGAAAAGAGAAAAGGCGAGAGGAGAGAGATGAAGGAGAGGCAGGGAGAGAGACATAGAAAAGAGGGAGAGAAAGGGACAAGAAAAGAAGGAAAAGAGGGAGAGACAGAAAGAGGACAGAAAGGGGATAAAAAAGACAGAGATGCGGAGAGATGGAAAGAAAGAGAAAAAAGGAGGGAGATAAGAGAGGGAGGGAGAGAAGTACAGAAACAAAAGGGAAGAGAGAGAAGAGGGAGGAAGAGAGACGGAAAAGGGAGAAAGGGACAGAGGAACGTGGGGAGAGGGAGGGAGAGAGGGCGGACAGGGAAGGGGAAAGCAGCAGAGAAGAGCAGACTGAGAACTCAGGGAGACCCTGTCCCCGAGCCAGGCTGCCACTGTGCCCAGGGCTCCAGGGCCTGAGGTGCAAGGCAGCGGGGTGCGGCCTTCAGCCTGGACTCTCCTCGCAGCTCTGATTTTCTGAACTGGCACAGAAACCTGTGGAGAACTGAGGGAGGATGCCCCGGACTTAAGCGGCAGAAAGTGGAAGTCACATTCCTGGGGAAATCTCTGGTCAGGACCACGGGTCAGTGAGGGAGCGATCTCCTGCTGGGCAAAGGTCTCTGCAGACCTCAATGCCTGATTACCCGCGTCCTGATGACTCACTCAAAACAAGCGCCGGCTTAGTTAGAATGGAAATATATTTTAATATATTTTATCAGGACGGAAATACATTTTACCCAACTTGCCTCTATGAAACACTATCTTAACAAGGGAAAAGACCACAAATGTAGACGCTGGGCCGGGGAGGCTTGCCATGCAGACACCAAGATCTTCAGGGAGAGAAATGAAAGTCCTGGAAGTTCCTTTGGAGTTCAGAGCCCCAAGACTGTAGCAAGCCGCCTAATAAATATTCAGCTCCCAGCTCCTAAGGGACCTGTGTGAGCCTGTGCGATGCAGAGCCTGGGCATCCACAACCTCTGTGCCAGCCCGTGTGACACAGACATATTCACAAGAGGAGAGAGGGGACCCAGAGGAGTACTGGAGCCAGCATGGCCCCGCTGCCCTCCTAAGGGGCCTGCCCACCCCACCCTGGCACAGCCTCCCGGGCTGCCATCTTGTGCCCACAGGGGGTGGCTACCAGACAGCGGGGCCACCTCCCAAGCTGGCATCTCACCATCGATATGCAGAATCTCAAACTGCTTTGTGTTAGGTGCTGGGGTGAAGCCCAGGGCCTCACACATGCTAGGCAAGGGCCACACGCTGAGCCACAGCCCAGCCCTCTGCAGGCTGTCTTTAAATGGCTCAAATCCAGCCTTGGGATGGAAACAGAAGAGGACCTCTCTGTCACTCTCTCCTGCCCTTGGGTGGTATGGACAAGGGCAGCGGGGGGGTGGGGGTCTACACCAGCAGTGCTGTGCTCCGGGGAGGGAGGAGACCAGACTTGCTCTCCAAACAGAGTGGCCCCACCAGCCTGAGACACCAGCACCCCGCCCTGGATCAGGATTTCAGTGACAGAGTCGCCTGACAGATGCTGGCTCCCAGTGACATGTGCTTTGGCACAGCTGGCCACCCACGTGAGTGTCCAGCAACCCAGGGGCTTTAAAAAGAATGGCATGGCTGTGGTGTCTGTGGCTTATCCTGGCCACCAGAGTCAGCTCATGTAGGGTAGAACTGCCCTTGGATTCTGTAACAGTTCCCTGGAGTGGGCAGGATCTTGTTGACATTTTTTCTGAAACCCGGGGAGGATGGCAGCTCACAGAGGAGAAATGCAGTCTTGGGTGTGTTCAGCTGGGGCCCCTGAGTTCTCCTGACCACACAGCTGGCCTGTGTATCCAGATCCACAGGTGCTACCCTCGTATTGAACCTGACACCAGTGTCTATGGGGGGCCCAGAGCTCCCCAGGAGATGCCAAGTGGACTAATCTGTGGCCAGGACTCACAATGTCTGATCCCGCCTGCCTCAGGCTTCCTGGAGTGCAGCAGTCCACATACTC